TGTATTCAAGGGTATACAACGAAACCCTCAATTTGTCCCAGATTTTGTCCAATGGATTTGGAAGAACAGAAAAAAAAACTGCTAAATTTCATTGAAGAGGAACAATCTTCTACTCTTTGAAAGCCCTTATCCTATCTCCGCTTCCAAATCCCCCCCCCTCAGTAGAATGAACTTAACATTTCTTTGGTGCTATATAAAGCATCTGCTCCAATCAAACCCTAGCCTTTATTCAAGACACTGACTCGACTTTTTTCTTGAGCTTGGGTTATTTCAACGAAGCCAATCAGCTGTTGCATGTTTGTTTGACTTTGCTGAAAAACATGCATCCTCTCACGCATCACTGACAACAAGTGCTCGAGTTACCTCAGCTTGTGCGAGAGAATATATTTCTCTTACACAATGCTCTCCTTCCACTTGATTCTTCTCATGGGAAATGCCTAACATAGCAGGTTGATGAGGTCAATTTCTGAATGGAGCTTGTTTTGAAACTAAACAACCATGCGGATTTTATGATTATTCATGAGTAACCACTTAAAAAATTATTTTGTCATTATTCATTACGTACTTTTTTATTGGAAATTTTTTGAGAAATGGTGAATATGATGAACTACGGTTGCAGAATTTCTTTCGAAGTAATGGGAGGTGTGGGGAACCGAATTTCTTCTGAAGATTTCCATGGATTTATAACCCTCGCAAATAGTTTTTGAAGGATAACACAGTTGAGTTTAAGTCATTTCCCATCGGGATCGAGTATCTTAAGTTGGTGACTCCTTTCAAACTTCCCGAATCGATGGTAATAAAATCAGAAAGTATTTGGAAAATCGTTGTGTTTGAGCCTTGGGTTTCTCAGGAGAAAAATTACGAAACAAACCGGAATGGGTTCTTCATTCTTCATGTGTTCAATTTCCTGTACGACTGCAATGATGAAAATTTATTCGAAATCACTTTCTTCCTTCCTTTATCTTTCGCAGAGAATTCGGGTGGTTCAACTACCCGTTAGAAGCCTTTCATGCCTTGATGAAACTAATTCAGTCTCCCTCCTCACTTCCTCTCTTCCGCCCCGAACCAAGTTTGACGACATTTAGCTAGCCACCATCTCTCCTTCTAAAATAAGGTTGTCGATTATTTGTCTAAAACTATTTATTCCAAGTTTCCGCTCCAGTACACAATGTGAAAAGTTGTAAGGAGCTCCAAAAAGGCCAAGGAAAAAGCGTAGAACCTTTGCAAAATCACATGCTCAAGAAAAATTGTTTTTTCACATGCAAAATTCATTATCTGGGATAACACATGGCTGCATGACTTATTTTATTAAGTGGCAGAGGAGAGAGGGGGGGGGGGGAGGGGGGGGGGGGGAAACGAAGAGAGATAGGGGGCCAAAGAAGAGAGGCATTGGTAGGTGTTATAAAACTTTCTTCTTTTCTAAGATCTGAAGCTTTTGGATGCCGAGAAATAATAATTACGACAAGACATGTATTTGGGCGTGGTTGAAGTTGTGATTTTTGATTTGTTGAATATTAGTATTAGTACCGATAGTAACTGAATTACAGTATGTAGGATTACTGTAATCGCGCAGTACTGAAGTCGCTAGAAATTGTAGCCAATTTGGAAGCCAAGCATCGCTCGATCTTCAATGTTGATGACATCACATGGCCCCGTATCGCCTTTCTGTTTATGTTTCCCGCAGCTTTGTCGTCAATTGTTTGACATTTGACGTTGATATTTGCTTACCAGTACTAAAATGGGAAGGAACGATGTTGCACTTATATGGGTTGTACGGGGTGGGAAATATAGGGAAGGGGGAATAGGAAGGGGGGGGGGGGACGCGGTGCGAAAGATGGGAATTTTATGCATTCTCTTACACTCATCCTTCCATCATACATCTTCTTTTTATGTGACACAAATGGCGTGAATGCCGACTGTCTTTTTTCTTCTGTTTCTTCTTTCACATACTTACTTGCTAAATAGCTGTCATGAACAAGCTGCCATTCATGTTTGGTGTAATTTCACCCTTTTCCCCGGGTAATTTATGAACTCTCGATGATCAGGTCCTTCGCGGAGGCTTCCGTAGTCCGCTCAATTTTATAACAAGTGCAAAAAGCTAGAATGGGTAATGACTTTTGACTTTTACTAGTGCCAATCCATTAATATCTACGTAAAGACCTCATTGTAGAAATCTTTTCAATCGCTCGCTCCTCCTCAAGCATTTTTTTGATACAGAATAGAGGCCTTTTTCCCATTTTTTAATGTCAAAATTTTTTATGGGAATAATATTCATGCTCATTGACTCAAGCAATTCTGAGCTTTTATCAGCTGTATTAAAGCAAAGCCTTTAGTTGCTATACCTACACATTTTTTAAATGCTTCCTGTGCTTTTGCAGCAGCCCTATGCAAGCCTGCAATTTTCACCGTCACCAAATTGTTATTGCTCTAAAATAAGAAAATAAGAGATAATTTGCCTCTCAAAAAAGTTAACCACATAGAATTACGTCACCGTTATTTGCTTTTGCTTTACATGCTGCAGATGAATATCTGTTGCTAAATAGTTTTTGACGAGAAAATTAAGTAAAAATCGCATCCTTTATTTCGTAGTTGAGAGTACTGAATAGGAAATGCAAATACAGATATGCAAGGGTAAAGTTTTAGTATTTGGAAAGAAGCTTGAGAAAGATAATATATTAGAAAGTCTCTCTAGAAAATCGAGAAAATTATACTTTTAGCTTTTTTGAGGATATTGGATAACAGCACTTCCTAGAATAAATTGAAGATCATATTCAGATCACTGTTCAATTCCTCGAAAATATCTCTTCCATTCCTCAGAACCTTGTACTGATTCGCATTTTCAACAATTTCTTTTGCTGCAACTCGACAAAAATGATTTATGTGGAATTTTACAAACTCTGCATCAAATCAAAAATCTTGGAAAGATATACATAATGCTACTTCAAGTCCGTATGTCAAGTCTTAGTATATGCATAGACATCTGGTAAACATCATCGTTCTGATTTTGTTATGGCTTCGTGCAAGAGGACGGGGCACCTGTTGCACCCGGTGGTCCCGAAAATGCCTCTAGATTTTTATGGGTTGGTAAAAATGACCCCAAACTCATGTCAAGCAAGAGACAGCGTTTTGCTTTTGTTTTCAGATAGAAAAAATATCAGTCTATAAATCACGCCTTTTTCTTAAATTGTAGTAACAATAAAAAGACGGTGAAAAAAGTTCCCAATTTTTTCTTCCTTATCCGATGATTGCGAAAAAAGAAAGTATGAAGGTATGCATTGCAAAGCATTCACACACACACACACATTGTGCTTCGCATGATCCTTCTTTTCGCTTTACAATTCACCTTGGAAGCGGAATGAACGTGGAACGTGTCCAGTCATTCATCATAATCGTCCCTCCCCAGACAGAGATTTCTACTTTCTCTGCATTTCTGGCTGTTTCACCCTTGACAGAGTTCATCTTATGCATCATGGCCTCTGTTCGTTTTCTCAGCTCAAATTGCCTACCATCTGTTATCTGCCTGAATTGCCTAACATTTTTCGAAGGAAAATTGCTCTGCCTTCCTCTTGAAACAATATCTTTAGCAGCAAATGATTTTATTTCTTGGACTTTCTCCGGAGGGGTTTAGCACCCCTCCCCATTTCTCATATATACATTACGACATCGTGGACGTAATCTATCTAAGCTTTTGGACCCGCAGTAGGCGAGAGTCCTAGAACTTTACAATTAGTCAATTTGTCTCTTGTACGACATCATTTGTTCATTTGATTTTACATGCTCTCCATCAAAATTCCCATAATAAGCCCCACATACTTTTTGATGGGCCATAAAGGGCCATAAAGTATTTCTGTAATGAAGTATCATCTCCATAAATCAGAAAATACATAGAGGTGGTCTCTTGAGGGTCATTAAGTGGAACATTCTAAGCTTTCTTGAACTGCCAAGATAGAAAATAGCTATCAACTACCATTTTATCCCTAAGAATTGCTTTATATTTGTATTTTCCCAGCTTCAAAGATTCCGGAAAGGATGTGTTAACATAAGTTTTTAGGAGAAACGTTCGCTTTACTCACAAAGTAAATAATAGCAAAATTGCAAAATATTTTCTCTACTAAATTAGATGCTCCGGGGCTTACGGACAAAATTTTTGTAATTGTAGAATGGGCTATACATTCAGAAGCATCAATCTCACAGTAAAATCTGCAAAGCCAAGCAATAGCCGGACCATAAGTAAGACTCTCTTTCGATTAATCTTTCCTTTTCTCCCAGAAAAAATTCTTCTTTGAGCAACTGTTGTAACCTACTGCTTCTTGGAAAGAGAAATATATTACAGTATTCTTTTGTTTTTTTTGTTCAGAAATGCGTAATGAATTGCTGGTAATTATCGTTTGTACTTCTAATCTGTAGCACATTCACGTTCTTTCCTTTTTTCAAAAAAACATGAATTCCCGGTAATCATTGTAAGTACTTCTAATCTGTTGCACATTCAGATAAGTAAATTTTGTAAATAAAAATTGGGGGGGGGGGGGTCCCCTAATGTCAAAATGTCCAGATGTTAGAATAACTTAGAATTTCGCTCTCACTGGATGTGATTGATTTCTTATATGCCTATCCAAACTCATTACTTTCCTGCTATGCCGGTCCTCGCAAGAGTAGTTTTTGTAAGATTTGTGGCCTTGAGTTTAGTAATCTATGTTTATGTCTCGCAGTTCTATCGTTTTCATCAGACAGCAGACTTATGTTCAACTTTTATTCGAAAGCTGCTGTAAAAATATGGTCATATGCCAAAAATTCTGTCTAGAGTTACGATATCTGAACTGAAATTAATGAAACTGCGCAGTCCTCCATTTCAACTTTGAATTCCGAACTTTGGGATGAAGTTAGCATGAGTTGAACTCATACTGCTCTACCCCTTCCTTCTCCGAAAAACTATAAAACTCATCCTGCATTCCCCTGCTAGCTTTGAGTCCTTGAGCTATTATTCTAACGATGATTTGCAGACTCTTGCAACGGAAATACCGTATCCGAGCCCATTCAAGCTGCATTCCGAGCCGACCGGTCCAAATTACCCGCACATCACTTGAGCAGCCGACGAAAAAATCGTTTGGAAAATTCGCTACAAAGAGCGCATCAGAGGTTTGTTGTGTTATTAGCAAAAGGCTCTCTTTATCTCATCATAATTTTTGGGTCAATGATGTCAGTCTGATCTTTCGTTCTCCAAAATTTTGTAAATGCGGCGGTTCGCCATTATTGATTGAAAAAATTCGAGGTTCTTCACAAGATGATTTATTTTTTATAACATCCTAATAGAGAGAAGTTAGAGGAGTGGAAAGGCTATAATTTTTACTATCTTCGAGAGAGATACTTTGAAATCGCTCGAGGAGTTAAATAATTATAAAAAATTGTACCTCTTCTTATGAGGTTCATATTCTTCTACTCAGCTAAACTTGGGGTGGATTTTCTCTATAAACTTTTGTTCTGAACGCTTTTTGAACTCTTTGGGAAAAATTTACTCGTTCTGCTGAAATAAATTAGCACAAAATAAATTCACACATAAAGGTATGTATCTGTTCAAGAGCATGGAGTCATGAGGAAAAATTGTTGCAGATATCCTTGTGCATCGTTCCTATCTTGCTACTATTTTACCATTGTCTGATTATTAAATCGTCTTATCAGTGGTAGATGGTCCTACATGGATTGCGATTCTCTATCAAACAATGATTTTCAACATTTTCAATAAAATAATTTTCCACTTTTATTAGTCAAACCTTGCACCTGCTGGTATCCGTCTGCGCTCAAGCGAACATCATTCACTCAGTTGACGTAAAACTTTCGCTATTACACTGATCTCCGAAATATTTCAATCTTTCGCGTGCCGAACACCGATTGCAACGATGAGTAGCCGTGTGGTCATTTTCCTCGCATCACTCACTTTACTATAGCTTCGCCGCTAACATTTGGATATTTCCGTACGAAAGGATATCTGAGAATAGCTTATGAAAAATCACGCTATTGACTTTTGTATAACCCTGGTTATACATAAAAAGTTTTAGAAAAAAGAGAATTTTTTAAGCGAAGAAAGAGCGAAGTAAAGAATATGAAACTTGCACACTTTTAACAGAAAAAGAACGAAGTATCAGATTTCTGTATGCTCATGGTGGTGAGTCACTTATGAGCTACCGAAACCCTTAGGATCAACAAATACTTTTAGTTTTTTGAGTTGAAACTTTCAAGATTTCTTTGCTGTCTGTCAGTTTAGACACACTGAGTTCTTCTACTTCTGCTTGTGCTCGAAAATGTTATAAAAGAACTTATCTGATAAGAATGTTTCCTTGAAGTCACTGTTTGGCAAATTTCAGCTGTCTTCATTTTAATGTAATATCATAGGCATTTTTCAGAAAAAAAACTAACAATTCTGATTAGAAAACGGGCGCTCAAAGGGAATGTCAGCCAGTTCATTTCTCACATCTTTTAATAGTTAACATAGTGTCAGTTAGTGTAAAATTGGGAAAAAATTGTGAAAATAAAAGCAGTAGCCTAAGCATTGACTCTGTTCAATCGTTTTCCGGTGATGTTCTAAGGATTCTAAAGCATACAAATATTTTTGAAGTGAGCTACGCAGCTGCATTATGACTGTTTGTTTGAATGAACCTTTTTTTCTTCCGTTCAAGTTAACAAAGAAGTTAAGCTTTTCAGCAAACATGAGGAAATCTTACTCTTTGATTGAGAGTGAAATTGAAACTCAATTCTCAATCAGTTTCAAGTCTCGCTTTGGTAACGTAGGGTGGCCCAAATGAAAAAGAATGTTTATGTGCCATGCTAACACTGATTTATATTTTATCTAAAGTGTTTTGATTTGTAATTGTTTTCTTCTATGTCATTGTTATCTGCCTGAGTTTTGAGATTAGCTACTCAGATAAATGACCGGAACTTCCGCGGAGCGCTTGCGGAAGTTCCGTCGGGTCACCTGCGGAAGTTCCGGTTTTCAACCAATTTGGTATGAAAATCCCGCGGAAGTTTCGATTCTCAACGTTTTCATTTTTGCAATAGTGACCAAAGTCCTGCGGAACTTCTGCAAATTTGGCTTGTCCTGTGGAACTTCCGGTGATTTTTCTGAGTAGTCCCGCATTAGTTCGAGTTCCTTTTTTTTCGGTGCACTTCAAGTGTATCTATAAATAAATGAAAAATTTAGTTTTGGGATGTTTTCGTGCTTTCTACAGTAATGCGGGGAGAAATTGCTAAATTTTTACTGCCGTTGCATTTGCATGCAAGATACCAAGGGATTATTTGCACCAAAAATTTTCACGCGCAAATGCTGTTGGCAAAGTTAGGTTAGTGCACTAATGAGCGTTATACTTACTTAATTATCATTGGGGTTTGGTCAAAACCGCCGCGTTGCTACAATCTTATTTGTCATTTCACTTCCTCAAATAATGTTATCTCCCAACATTTTGAAGTACTGTAGGTGTACGGTGAGCCAGTACAGTGCTAATTTCAGGTCGCACAGTGCTGGAGCTGATGCGAGTCTTAGCGTTGGAGTCGTGATACCGTGTTCGTCTGACATGCGTGCGTTGAATTTGAGTAGCGCACGTGATGTGACGGCAAACTCCAATAACGCGAAGTTCCTTCGGGCTACGAAACGTTTCTTCAAGAAAATCTACTCCACGGCTACGCTACCGAACAAAAAACCGTCTTCGCTTGAGACTGACTCTAACCCCAAACCAGCGCAATTCTTTGAAATTGGGTAAGTCCTGGATTATTCTTTTGATGATAGTTCTCAAATTTGACCACCTACAGATATCGTACACCAGCAGCTTTGGCAAACGAATCTGATCTGTCACGACTAGAGGACTTCCGTAACTACGGACATACCTACATTGACACGAACTATCCAGATAGCGGTCTAGACATGGATAGGTACGTTGTATTAGCTCTCCTGTTTTACTAATGTGATAATATTTACAAAAATATGATACTTTATTTATTGAAGCTGTAGCACTTTTATTTTGTGGTGAAAAAGCTATTGGGATTATTTTGACTTTTTACGGTAATTATTTCGACTTTTGCCGTAAAAGTGCCGCAACATTACCGTATGACGCCCACAATCAAATTAAATGTAATTTCCATACTCAAAACAGTTAGGATATACGCCGCTATGCGCGATTATTAACAATGATTATTCATAATTAGCAGATTCTAGGTATCCCTTTCTAATAGCCCTGTGCTGTAATTTTTGAAGAACATATGCTTCACTGAATTCAATCTAGTTTCTCAGGGTGTTTGAAAGTGTGAAAATAGGACAAAAATTTCTTGAAATGCAGTGTGGCGACTTCATTTTTTTCACTTTTTTCACTAACAACAGTCAAAAAATCTAAAAAGAGAAAGTTGAGAAAGTAACTATCTGTAGCTCTTGTCTGCTATTTTTCAAAAACACTATGCCTTGAATTTGGAGTTTTTTGGTAACATTCGAAATGATCGCGCTTTTTGACCATCTTTCACTTTTGTTCACATTTCTCATCATTTTTGGCTACATAATTTGGCATTTGTAAAGATTTTCTTTTCTAAGTCTTTTTTTCTAAAAAACCTTTACCATTTTGGAAGCCTTTTCTGCCTTGCCAAAGTTACGACCCACCGTTTGGTTGTAAAGTTAACAAGTCAGAGGGTGCTTCGGTTCAAAATGACGGAATAGAAAAAATACTTGGTCAGGAATGCGTTCAAAAAATGTTAGGGATGGGGTAATTTGACAAGGAAGTCATGTGTAACAACTCAGTATTTGTTCAGCACGGTTAGTTTGAAAAAAAGAAAAGAAAAAAAAAGAAATGTCATGCAGTTTTTCAACACTCCTATGGTGCTTACACCGCTTGCCTCTGGTCTTGAATAATCTGTCGGGAAAAAACTATCTTTTTTCTAGTAGTTGATTTTTTTCCTGATTTTGATTTGTTGAGACATTGTCTAAAGCGACATCTGGTATTAGAGTGTATAGCCGTGAAAATTTATTATATGCTAATGATAAACAAGTAAAGAGTAAAGCTCCCTTACTTATCATGGAACCTACAAATTTCTTGAAGTTTCACCTCCGAATCGTTCTCTCCCAATTCTAATTTTTTTTCGTTGCTACTATTAAATGATTCTCTTCTGCTTACGTATGCTAACTGATAGCGGACTGACGTAGGGAGACGGAGTGGGGGGGGGGGGAGGAAATTATGAAAGTAGCCCAAAAACTTCAATTACGAAGTAACGTTCAAACAATCAGAATAATTTTTCTTAAATTGAAGTTCAAGTTGGGCTTGTAAGAGTGATATGCCACGGTATGGCGTCAGTGATTTAATATCGAAAATTTGTCCTCACCCCCCCCCTTCCCCGCCCTCCTCTCTCCCCGCGAAAAAATTTTCGTTGATGCAGCTGACCAATTTATGATATTCAGATCCTCAACCCCCGATCAATCAATGGGTTCGATGACGGTAACCTCGTCAGATTCCCGTGTAACATCGTCCGATTCCAGTCGCGAAGAACGATGCGACGATCTCTTCGAAACTTTGAGACGAGAAATGGTAATTTAGTTATTTCATTGCATTTACAAAAGGAAATTGAAGAGAATTTCTAGCATGCGATGCGAGCTCGCGATGCAGCCATTCTAGCGGATTTGCATCGTGTCGAATCTCAAATTCAAAGTGTCAAAATGGCTCGTCTTGGGCTCTACGACGCCACTCCACAACCGGTGCCAAGTCTTCCGATCTAAGCGTAGAAGTCGCGAATAGTAGCAGTGTCATTTGTTTCGTTTACTACTTACTGTTATCATCTCTATAATCGCTGTATTTTTCTTGTTATCATAATTTCTATGTTAGATATGGTTGCCGTATCATAAAAAGGAGATTCTTGTCTCCCTTATGATGGTAAGCCCACAGACTTCTACTAGTGCTGTCACATTTGCGTCTTCTTAAAATTCGTAGCATAATAATACCCAATTCATCAGTAAAACTTAGCATCCAGTAATGTTTCCTAGCACCCACTCAATTTTCTGTTTCCTCACGTTGTACATTTTGATTTGACCCTTTAAAGTGTGCGGGTTAGAATTATGTATCCTGATGATGTTCTACTATGATATCGTGCGTTAATGAGCCCAGTTTTATGTATCACCTTAGAATGTGTCAACCCAGTGTATATTTGATTTGAGCGGCAGCATGGTTCCTCCTGTCACTCACACATTGTCACAGTCTCTTCGGCTCTTCTTCTCTGAAACATGAGGAAGCGCTCAAACGAATCAGAGACGAAACCATGTGCAGGGCCATACAACTGTAATTTTTTTTATTCATTTATCCGATTTCAGTATGTGTTTTTTACTACTTAAAGACAGCAATAAACTCTTAGTAAAATACATCGTTTTTGATCATTTAGTCATTTATTAGTGTTACATAAGTTCTGTCCGATTTTTTGCCTTATGTGTGAGGCAGCTGTTCTAAGAGAATTTCATCTCTAATGCGGTATTGTTAATGTCATTAGAAAGTGCTTTTCTTGCGCTTTCTAAGGCATATCAAATTTCAATAAATTTCTCAGTGTAAGATTTCAGGCCTAAATTCTCCAAGTGGCCGAGGTACGTTCTCACCTTAAAAATATGTTCTTGCGAGGAAATCTCCACAATGCGCCCTTCAGGTCAAGTTTTTTAATTGGTAGCGGAATAAGGGTGTGACAGGCTAGCATACACATAAGTTCAGTTCCATGAAGAAAACGTCTTGTTAGTAAAATTTATTGTCAAACATTAATTTTCTGTATAGATGTTTTACAAGCTATAACTTTCTGTGAATAGAAGTAATTGACGACTTCAAAGTTGGAGGTGCTAGCGTAAGCAAGGGCTAGCAGAGACCATCCGCCAATTTTTTTTCGGCGCTCACGGTAACCGTAAAATCTTCGTAATTTGTAAATAGGCATGGACACATGCGCTGAAGCGAGGTCAAAAAGTGGCCAATTTTTTGTTCGGTCAAAAAATCTCTCGGCAACGCAGACCCTATGAACTCTTTCATGGTGCAAAATATCTACAAAAAATTCTCTATTTATCCATTGTTAGACAAGATGCCTATCCATTCTCATAAGGGCACTGCCATGTCATAAGAAAGGTTTGAAGAAAAACGCTGTAAAGTTTTTAAGTTCTTGCTTCTTCCCTAACACGGATGTCCACAGGTTTCAATATGCATCTGATAGCCAAGGAATTGCTCAGCAAATAAAAACTAAGATCTTGGGAAAAAGCTGACTTTGAAAGAAGTTATGACATTTTGAAGTCAAAAATTTCAAATCCGGCAGAACTTATGCAACAACCTAGTACTTGATAAGTCAAGTCTTGCCACATCAAGTACGAATGTTTACAAAATATGGCGCAACAACGAGGAAGAAAAAAGAAAAAACACTCAAGTTGGTTCGAGTTCAGTTAGCACACGATTTTGTAAAGGGAATCAGCTTGTAGGGACACCGTATGCGATCATATTTAGGGAGTTATTGAAGAAAACCTAAGAGTCTCACTGTCGTTAATAATCATCAAGACCTTATAGTAACGGGCTAAGGGTTGTTTACGTGTTTGTGTGTGTGTGTGTCCGTCTGTTACGAAATTCGTAGAGCGTGTTCCAGCCACCGTTCTAAGCCCAAATTTCGCATAGTGCATGCTACCCTCATGAAAGTTCAATATACAAAAGCACGAGTAGATTCGTTGAGTGGATCCCTCAGAAATTGCGCGCCAAACGGGTCCACCTGGCTTCTGCCCCGCAAAATTGGGTCCGTATCACCACTTTTTGCAAAGTCGTGGATGTGTTTGGTAAGCAAATGTGCAAGCGATGGACTTTAGCCCGAAAAATGGTTAAAAGTTTCTATATAACGAAACGGCGCCAAAAGGGATTGGTTGCGTAAATGGCCAATTTGTCAAGGTTCTAGCCAAGCATTTGAGAAGATTTTCGCACAGAGATGTAGCTCACGGTTACTATTACCTTTATTCAAATTTGCGTTTGTCTTCCTGCGAAAAGTTTCATCCACGCGAAATCACCGAACTCACGTGAAAAAACTTTCTAAATGAGTAGTTGTTTACATCTTATTCGTGGTAGTCGGCATAGCGCGGTGAGTTCCAGTGAGAAGATTTTACAAGCATGAGCAAGGCACATAGATAGTATAGCCAGTGCGAGCCTCTGCGAAGCATAGGTGACGCACTGGTGACTTATAATAAAGCGCTAAGCGTCTGTCTGTTTGTCTGTGTGTGTATATCTGTCTGTCACGAAATTCACAGAGTGAGTTGCAGCCAGCGTCTCGATCAGAACCCGGCACAAAACCATTTCTAGGGTTTCTGAAAACGAAGTCCCCCCTTACTTTCGGGAATTTTACGAAGTCTCCTTTGACCCTTGCCCTACCCCTCCCCCCCCCACCCTTCGAATGTGTGAAAAGCAAACAAAAGTATACACAAAGAACTTTATTCAGACACTTAAATTTCTGAGTAAAAAACGAGTTTCAAGAGCTTCCATGTTTCGCTTTCTTTAAACCTGGGCATCGTATGTATTTATCAAGTGTTCTGAGCCAGACAGGTTGTTAGGTGGTCTTTATTATCCAATCACGGCCTACCGTTTCGACGCCTTCGTCTTCCTCAGAGGCCTGAAAGTGGTTCAAAACCTCATCCGTGACTCCAAGCCACCAAACACCTCCCCTAGGTCGGTTAGTTCTCAACCTTCGCTCAGCTTTCCTCTTATAAAAAAGAAGCTTTCCTCTTCGATCTAAGACTAAATCCAAGCTCCGCGCAAAGTACGACCGACTCTTGGCTGAACTATGTAAAAGTTGCTCACGTGACAGTAGTAGCAAAGCCGATGAACGCTCTGAACAACTTTCATGTTATAATGCAAAAGCGGCAAGAGTCACTGTTAATGGCAACACTCAGATTTCTTCTAACATCATCGAGCTTTGTAGCCTTAGACCTTCATTCTCTCTCGCGCAGAACGTCAATGCTGCTACTTATCGCAAAGTTGTTTGAACCCTGCACAAAGTCACAGACACTTTAAGACTGAGAGCTAAACGTAGAGGTGATCCAGCTATGGCGTCTTACGAATCTAACGGCTTACCATTAATTCCTTTCCCTCAATCGTTTTACAGGCAACCGTCTCCCGTTCTTGAGATAGACACAAAGTTTTGTCTTTTATGTTGTTCTGGTGTTTTGGAAGTTCTCAACAGAGCAAAACAACAACATCAGAACAACTTGTCAAACGAACGGTGGCAAGCTTTCAAAGAGGTACGCGAACTCGTCTCGAAGGGTTCAATACGTGTGTCTGTAAGCGATGAAGGCGGCGAGTTTGTAGTAATGCCTCAGGAGTTAGATCGCAGAATAACAGCAGCGCATCTTGCGGACACCACAACGTATAGAATGGTCTCTGAGAAAGAGTTTCACACCCAATGTAAAAAGTTGAACGACGCTTGGACCACGATAGCAAAATCAGCTGGACTTGACGAGAGCGTTATCAACAGATTGAAGCTTAGATCCAAGTTGTCCAGTGTTTTATAGCTTAATCAAACCCACAATCTTTCTTTGCGAGACATGAATTCATTGTCGGAAGACACCTACAAGATCAGACCAATTATAAGTTGTGTAGGCGGCCCTACCGACATGCATGGTTCTTAAATAAAATTGTGAGTCAATTGCTGTCCAAGATTCCTGCATATCTATCCAACTCACACGGATTTATCGAATAGCTTCGCAGCGCTAAGTTTGATTCGAGCACTGTAATTGAGTCATTTGATGTGACTTCGCTTTACACTAATGTGCAAAATGAACAAGCCCTGCAAGCGCTATCAGAGATGTTGGATAGGCATGACAATACCATCAATACCTTTGGACTTGGCAAGTTGCGGACAATGACCCTAACACACGAATGTTTGAAGTGTAACATCTTTAAATGGTCTGGGACTTATTACTCTCAGATACGTAGGCTGTCAATGGGTCAGAGACTAGCGCCTGTACTTGCTATCTGCTTCATGAGCAAGATCGAGGAACCGGTGCTAGCTCGAATGCCGCTAATGTACGCCGTTATATCGATGACTGCTGTATAGCGACCTCCACACAGTCTGAAATGGATAAGTGTTTCGAGATTTTCAACCAGCAGTCGCAGTACATAAAGCTCACACGAGAGACACTACGCGACGGATGGCTGCCCTATCTCAACGCACAGGTGAGGTTGTCCAACGGCATAACTGAGTTCAAATGTTACCGCAAAGAAAGCTCTAAGAACATCCTCGTAAATGTTGAATCTGGCCATCCTTTACGTGAAGCGCGCTGTAATCAGGAATATGTTCGATACGGCTATGCAGATGTGCTCCGGAGAAAAGGAACGATGCGAGTCACGAGATTCGGCTTCCCATATCGCTTGCAGTAATGGCTACCATTCTTTACCACGTACTCGACAGCCTGCGAATGGTAACAACGCTCATGATAATAAATTCCCACTATTTCCATTTATATCGGATAGTATCAGCGCGGCTCTTCGAAAATGCATTTTACGTGCACAATTGCAGGATGATATTGTATTAGTGGACGTTCCGAATGACAATATCAAAAAGCAATTGGTTCGAAACAGACTATACGATCGATACTGTATGACAGAGCATTGTGTAGTTTGCCCGCATGGTAAATTAGGTGATTGTGTAAAAGTGGGAATAGTTTATCAGATAGAATGTCTGAATTGCAACGCGCTTTATATTGGGAAGACTGAAAGAGCACTCAGTACTTGTGTTAAAGAACATCTGGCAGATAAAAAGCGTAAAACATTATCTTCAGCTTTAGGCAGGCATACATAGAAGCGAGGCGCATAATGGAGAAGACTTTGATATCAAGTGTAAGATCTTAGCCTGTGAAAAGGAGACCTCGGCTAGGAAAGCATTAGAGGCTTTCTGGATCTCTGCAAAGAAGCCAGAAATGAACAACAAGAATAAGTGTTTGTCAATAACCTCTGACTTTCCTCCGTTCATATCGTCATGCGGTCTGTAGATCACGTTGGGCTGTCATTTATGGTATAGTTTATTCTTCCGCCACGACCATCATTTCCGGTGCGGAATACCATATATAGCGGTGGTCTTTCGGTACGCTCATCTTCTGTCCTGACATTTTTATAAGCGGAAAGCTGAGCGAAGGTTGAGAACTAGCCGGACTAGGGGAGGTGTTTGGTGGCTTGGAGTCACGGATGACGTTTTGAACCACTTCCAGGCCTCTGAGGAAGACGAAGATGTCGAAACGTTAGGCTGTGATTGAATAATAAAGACCATCTAACAAACCTGTGGCTCAGAACACTTGAAGAAAACTAGTTTTAACAAAACAACATAATTGAACTTTAAATGTTTTGATACGGACTAAGAGTGGCTGCAAAGAAAAAATTTATGAGATCAGAAAATGAAAGGTTGTTTCTCGGTTTTTTAGCTCACAGGCCAGCTCTCCCATTTCTACCTATGAACTCAGCCATTAGAAGAAGAACAAACACGATAGAAGAGTGTTCAAGGATGCAAATTCCTTCATACCGTTTGTGAAAATAATACAAGTCTACAAAATCATATGCACTCCACAGAAGAAAACCTCACATAAGTTCATACTACCAATTCAGTATTCGAAGTCCGCAATGAGTTCGTAAACGATTGCTGTAGCAATGATATCATCGTTCCGGCAAGCGGATCACGACATGTGATCCGCCACTCCGGCAGTCATTGCTCGCATCTAAAACTTGTATTACTATGTCCAGAGGTACATTTTCAACAATTTTTTATCGATACATTGAGTTGGTGAGAATCACCATGTGATAGGCCGCCTTTTTCATGTTATTTTCATTGGGATCAAGGGTAAAATCCTTGCGTACAAGTGTTTCCGCGACGATCATGAGTATTTTCAGAGCTCTTTCAGCCCTAGGACCTGCATTTAAGAATTTTGGTTTGAAGTGATGCAAAAATGTGGGAAATCCTACCAATGAGCTCTTTGATAGCTTGCGTTAGTGCCGGACGGACATGACTTTCATATGGAGATGGAGCTGATGTGAGTGATGAGGCCTTCATAAGATGTCACAGTGATGTCATGATATGCAAAGTGAAGCGGCGGTACTATAACCGCACCAGCGCAAAACTAGAAAACTAGGAAATTAACTAGGGAAAATGTGCGGGGACCAGTTCTCGCTACAATATACAAGACTTTTCTATGCGCGAAAACTTTTTTTAGTGATATCAGCTTAGACAGACCTTCTTCTTCTTGCTGAAATCTGTACTAGGAAATGGCAGCATCAGAGGATTTTCATCTGGTAGGTGCTTGACAGCGTATTCAGCCTCCTGAAATTCTATTTTCAATGTAACAAGCGAATAAGAGGCGAAGCGAAAATTCAGCAAATTTATGAGCGCGAAAATTCCACGACACAAGCAGCTATTAAAGCTACAGCATACAACATTGAAAAGCATTTGCGTGCTAAAGACACGACTAGTGTTATAGATAGAAACATGCTACATGCATCTCTGACTACTCGCAAACCACCAACTCAACTCCAGCTCGGAGTCGAGGTGAACATGATGTGGGCGCCAAAAAAGAGGAAATTAACAGTGGCTTAGGACTGTTGCGAAAAATTTACAGCCCGCAGAAGGCCCCGACTCCTGCGCAACGCTAAGCACTAGCCAAGATATCGATGCGGTCGATGTATCTCAAACAGAAGTGAAAGGTTGGATGTTATCGGTCATGGATTGATACTTGATCGCACTGTGTTTTGATTCACCTGTTGGGTAGGATGGGCCTTTTTACAGAGCATACACTGAGTCGAATTTCGCAGCAAGCTTCCTCCGCTTTCCTAGAACCTCGGAAGAAAAACAGTGAAAATTACGCGCTCTTATACGATACATGCTGCTAAGATATTGGAATATGAAATACACTGCGCTCACCATGTGCTTCAACGTCATAGAGGTATTGTTGAATAGCCAAAATGGTGCATACAGATATGCTTTCAGATCTCCATACTCCGTCCAATGCAAAGCAAGTGACTGTAACGGAAAAAAACCTGACATGCCTTTTCCCACTCTCTAAAGCCTTACCAGCTCAGCCGAACCCGTATCCGTATTCAAGGCAACCACTTGTAGCTCCGGCTTTCGGGAATAGTCATATCCAACGAATACATTTCGCCCAAATATGGCGCCTAAAACCACAATCATAATTAGAGATTTAGAAGCAACTAAAAACTCAGTAGACTCACCCAAAGTCGCATACGACGCCCTGGCACCATGTTGAGCTGAATGCTCTGACCCGGTTCTAAATCCATAGCCACGGGAATTTCGAAGGTGATAGGGAATGGAAGTACGTCATGGAATTGCAAGGGTGGGTACAAATGGACTGAATACACTTCCGTCTACTTATCGACACCTGAACTACGTGATAGTCACAGCTTTCATCTCTACCGTATGCGCAATCAACTTGCGCAGAGTTAAGGCTCCGACTCTTTCAGTTTGTACTGGAAGCAGAAATTTTAAGGGAAGCCTTACCTTCTCGGACTTTTTCCTCAAAAACAACCGTTTCGAAGTAGCCTTGTGTGGTATCTTCACTTAGATCACATCGGATCACTTGACGCATCTGGTACGTAAATTGATGCCATGTCAGCGACTCAAGGCTGACTTCACATCTAGAACTAAACGATACACAAAACAATTACAACGTTTAGAAACAGCAAATTAGGGTAACAATAGAGTGAGATGTTGAATTGCAAGGGAACAAGAAATATACCCAACAGGAAAGACGCAAAATCTTACTTGTAATTAGAAGGTCTAAAGAAGATTTCCCCAGTCGCTGAAAATAGCAGTGGAACCACTAAATGCAGCGTTTCTCCCGGAGACACTGTTCCAAACAGATTCAAATTAGTGCTGTTCTTCGAAAAGCTCCATCGGTACGTCTAAATGGTTTGTTACACTGAAATGCGATGTAAATGTTATCAAGCGACGACCATTTTCGACCGACAACCAAGTGCAACATATCAATAAAGAGAACGGTAGAAACAGACGAAGAAAACACTCAATGTTTATGACAAAAAGCGACAAGCGATGAAAATTTTGCTCACAAGGGAAGGATACTCGGTCGAAGTGGCCGTTTGGAATGAGCTGTATATTAGGAAAACGTCCTCCGTAAGGCAAACTCAAAACTACTTTCGCTAGGTGCCGAGCGGTTTTGTGGGGGGAGTTACAAGGCCATTTTCCTCCGGCGCAGCCAGCGCACCCAGTGATGGGCGAGGCGCTAGGGTGACGCGGCAGTGTGGCAGTGGCGCAGTGGCAACGCAGTGGACTACGAAGCAGATGGTCGAGGGTTCGGGTCCTGTTGCTGCTATTTTGTTTTGCAGTTCTGTAAAAAGTCTATTGGGTGACAGCAAACGAGAAATACTATATCTAGGCAATTCAAACAAGCTATTTACTGCAAAAAACTCACTATTTCTACAATAAGCCATAATCCTCTACAATATGTAAATCTGTGGAGATTATGATGTCACAACAATGGGTTCAAATGATATATTAGCATGTATGGAATACAACCACAAAATGCTCAAAGCAGAAGAGCTTTTCGCAACGCGCGCACTTGCAAGATTGCAATCGATTCACATCCCATTTATTGGTTCTTGATCTGAACTTTACCTTGCATCATAGGGATTCCATCCTTAAGATCTTATCGCTCATTTACACACAATTTTGCTCGCCGCGATTCAAAGATTTGCTTTCATACCCATGGATGCAGCCGGATACATTGACAACCACCCCGGCGAATTCGAGTCTCCTATTCAGTACTGTTTTTCACCGACTTTGATAGGCAATTGTGAAGCTGCTGATTGTCATCGTTTTATTTTATCCGATGTGCGCGCTGCGAGAAGCTCTTCTACTTTGAGCATTTTGTGGTTGTATTCCATACATGTTAGTTTATCACTTGAATCCCTTGTTGTGACATCATAACCTCCACAGATTTACATATTTTAGAAGATTATAGCTTATTGCAGAAATAGTGGCTTTTTTGCAGTAACTAGCTTGTTTCGACTGCCTAGAAATAGTATTTCTCGTTTGCTGTCACCCAATAGACTTTTTACAGAACTGCAAAACAAAGTAGCAGCAACAGGACTCGAACCCTCGACCATCTGCTTCGTAGTCCACTGCGTTGCCACTGCGCCACTGCCACACTGCTGCGTCACTCTAGCGCCTCGCCCATCACTGGGTGCGCTGGCTGCGCCGGAGGAAAATGGCCTTGTAACTCCCCCCACAAAACCGCTCGGCACCTAGCGAAAGTAGTTTGGAGTTTGCCTTACGGAGGACGGTTTCCTAATATACAGCTCATTCCAAATGGCCACTTCGACCGAGTATCCTTCCCTTGTCAGAGCTGGAAACGGGCAATAACGCAAAGAATGGCGGTGGAGCGCGATATCTAACATGGCGATTTTCGGAAAAAAAGAGGCTAAAAAGGGACGGACAGGGGGTAATATGAAAATGTTTCTATGCTCAAAGATAGATTTTTGACCGGGGCATCCGTCCATGCTAAAAAGATCCGAAACTTATGTGAAGTGACGAAAATATATGCTCCAGACGATCTCAGATCGTCTGGTGGCCGTCTGGAGACGATCTAATTTTGAAAAAGGTATTTCTTTACATAAGTTTTCAAATCTTTTTACATAATTCTTCCGCAAATAATTTTCTATACATACAGTTCAATTTTGGTGATATATGATTCTGTGTGCATTGTAAACAAGCAGTTTGTTTGTTTCAGCCTTGCTTTCAAATCGCGCGCACTTTTCGCCGTACACGATAGAGCATGTCAATCGTGTGATAACCAGGATCAAGCTTGGGGTGTGGCACGCCACACTTGGGGGGTCGTATTGAGAAGTCAAAAGGGGAGGGGGTCGTAGTTGGGTAATCTGATAATAATGATAACATGATATTTGTATCATACCCATAGTTAGCATGTCAACCCCTGTAGACAAAGTGTGAGCGAATTCTGAAGATTCAAGATACTAGGTTACCTAAATGAAATGGTCAAATTCCAACATGGCTAACTTTGTTTCAAAGGTAAATTAGCTATCCGTTTTTGCACTGAAGACAAAGCACTACTCCTTCTTTGTCCACCTCAGGAATCCCCCTTCAGAAGACCTGTAAACTGTGGAATTAGAAGCCAATCAAAATCTCGTTTTTCCCATTTTTCGAATTTGATCGCTGTGCTTTCACCAAATATCACTCAGAGCTAAGAAGACGAATCAGGCTCCAAACAGTCCTATGGAATCTACAAGGTTTAGGCTATCGATTCATATAAATAGTGTCCGCTAAAAATGTTTTTTTTGATATAGTTAATGGGGTGCGGCACACCCCCTTAACTTGCCTTTAAAATCCAGAAAGCGCTCCATTGCTGGTATGAGTGTTGAGCACATAGCTTCTTCTTGCTACACTGGAAATTTGGAACCGAACGCCCCATCCATAAGAAAATTATGGCCCTTTCAATATGCCCATTCAGATCAAAATCAGCCGTCAAACTACGTGTGATTGTAAAGTGCAGTCACAGAAAATTGGGCGTACAGCTCTCGAAATCTGAAAACTCTCTAGAAAAAGCTGGTGTCCTCCAGAATGTCACACTTTGAGGTCCAGAGGTTAAGAGGAGGAAGAAGGGGTCGTTTGAGGGCTTTCATGGGAGGGGGGGTTGTTCTCGAAAGACTTGTGCCTGACCTCTTTCTCAACTCTGGTAATGCTATCTTAGGTATATAGTTCAGGGGGGGGGGGGTATTATTAAGACAGCAATCAGGGGGGGGGGTCGTAACCAGCGATCGTGTGCCACACCCCTGCTTGACCCTGGTGATAACTTGTCCGAAAAGCTTGTGTTCGACTAAATGGCGCCTATTCTTCGTGTTTGGCCCCGACTCGTCAAAAACGATATCTCCCTTGCTTTTTGCCCCAAAAACGAAGTCCAGCCTGCTTCCAGACGATCTAGGCCGGGCCCTGGTTTCGATCTAAAATTTTGGTCATAGCATCCTGTCAGTGTGTAGGTAACTGTGCAAAATCCCAAGCCGATCCAGTAAGTGTAACCATCGAAAACTGTGCGTCAAACGGATCCACGCGACTTTTGGCCCGCCAAAATAGGTCGGTAATTGGACTTTTGCAAAGTCGTGGATTCGTTCAGCAAGTAAATACGAAAAACATTGACTTCAGCTCAAAAAGTAAGCAAAAATTCTATTTTTACACAAAAAGATGAAACTGAGCAATTACGATTTGCCAAGTTTTTACTATAAAAACTGAGAGGATTTTTGAGTAATTATGTAGCTCAAGGTGGTCTTTATCCTTATGGCGACTATAAAGCCAAAATAAATTCAGTAACCCATTCAAAGTCGCATTTTTCTGCGGGAAAATTTTTTCTCCCAAAATTACCGATCTTACATGGAAAAGCTCTAAAAATGAATAGTTGTATACAATTCATTCGTGATGTTCAGCATCGCGCGGTAAGTTTCAAAGTCACTATTATGCTATCACGAAAAAGGCACAGATAGTAGAGCGAACCTCTGCGAAGCAGAGGTGACGCACTGGTAGATAATAACGACCTTTATTCCATAATACCTATAACTTACTACTCCTTCTGTCATGGACAAGTTGCAGATTGTCCATGCACCTGTTTAGCCGCCGGGTCACCTTCATGGCCCTTGATAATGCACTCGGCGGCGCCTACTTTCAAGTAGGCGAAACTTCTACTGCATTGATAGGATTTCTTGTCAGAAATTGGCATCCGGGCTATACGCGCTTTGGCTGTATAAAAGAGCCTGGATACCAAGTTTTGGAGTCGTCATTATCGCCCAGTCGCTGTTCGTCACTATTCGCTATTAATAAATTGTTGTGCCACCCAATTGGTTTTACTAAATTGGTGTATCGGCCAACGGATCGTCTCTTCGGTGCTGCTCACCGAAATTCGATAAAAGTCCCGCGTGGCAGGCTACTAGCAGCCGATATTCCACCCTCGTGATTGCTGGTCCATTCACTTCACGAACAAGAGTCTCGCTAAGCTATCAGGTCTTATCCATAGCTTAGCAGAGGTTTTCTATTAGCTGACTGGTTCATCCACAGTTAGTAAAGGAACTCTTCGAATTATTTTTGGCTTCCAACAGCCAAAAAAAAACTCTGTGATTGCTGGTTCATCCATTTTCACATACAAGAGTGACCTTATTAAGCTGTCAGGCCATCCACTGCTTAGTAAAGGGGTCAAACTAGCCGCCTGTCAATTCACAATCAGCAAACGACCCTCCCAAGCTCCTTGACCGTTGATCAACCAACAATCAAATCAAAAGCTTGCTGCTAGCTATCAGACCAATCCATAGCTCAGCAAAAGAAGCTAATTCCAGCTCTTTATCTGCATTCAGTCCACGCGAACGAGACAAACTATGTCCAAGCTGGCTGGATTAAGACGCCCACTCAATGGTATGTTCTGCACTCAAAAGCCTCGAGAGCAGAATCCTGAGCATAGACAGAGCATTTAAATTCCCCAACACAGTAACGGAATGTAATGTAATGGTTTACTGACGCATTGGACGTCTTTTCTGAGTCTTGATGCGGTTTTTGACGGGATGGATTACTCAT